AGCCAGAAGCAAAATTAAAGGCTAACAGTGGCCTCTCTGACTCTACACCTGGTGGGATTGGAGATTTATAGGATCTTTAGCAAAGAACTAATTTAATTTTGTAGGATTTGCTTAAATTCACTGCTATTTTGGGGAGCTGAGGAGAGGGAAGGATGGGGGCAGAGCAACATGCTTTATCTAGTTTTACGAATCCACCAACATTACCCTGATTTAAAACCCAACAACCTGTGTCTCAGGGAAACTCCTGCACAAGGGAGTAGAGGAGGGGGTGAGGGGGGGGTGGGCTCAACTTTCTCAGTGACTGTGGCCCCCTTAACCAAGTGGTTACCAGAGGGAAGGAAGAAAAGCTGGAGGCAAGGGGAGGGCTGCTCGTAAGTCTCTCCACCACAGGGACACCTGGAGGTTTATGGTGTCCCCATAATTCCCCTGACCCTATAAACAGCTGCCCTATTTTAAGAGGATTTCTGCTTCCTCCTTTCGGAAAGGGAGAATGAAGGAGCATGTTAGGGTGGGAGGGGGTTGCTGGAAAGGGGAGGGAGTTGGGGATATCGCTGCACTTTGTTCTCCTGGGCGAGTTTGCTGGTTTGGCGGGTTTCTGACGCAGGGTGGCAGCAGACAAAACAAGTAAACAACTCACAGACACAATAAACAGGAGCGGCTGTGGCGCGGTGGCAGAGGACGTAGGCTGGGTGAGAGGCACAGTCCTGGGGTAATGTCACCCCAGCACTCAGGGTGGCCGAGGCCCAAAAAGCCTGAGGCCAGGCTCGGTGAAGGGCGGAAGGAAGGTAGAAGAAAGCTGCACACCTTGGGGCACAGCATGTCTGGACAGGACAGTCTTGGGAGGAACCTGATAGTCTAGGGAGCAGCAGAAAACCCCTCCAGCCCAGTTCCTGCTCTTACTTTCTTTTATGGGGTTTTCCGCTGACATTTATATTTCCCCTCCACTCTGTCTTTTCGTGGCTCTGGAAGGGAGAAAACCTGGGAAAGGAGGCCCATTAATTCCCAGCCTCGGCAGCCCATACTCCGTGCTCCAGGCCCAGCTTCCTCTCCCGCATCACCCAGGCCAGCCTTCTCCCTGGCCCAGCCTTGCCCTGGATCAGGTAGCAGACAGGAATAAAATGCTGTTCTACCAGTAACCAGATCTGGGTATTTGGGGGGCTGACCGTAGAGAGCTCCTAATCTGCCTCCGCAGATGCAGGCGGGGGTGAGCAGCCAGGGCAGGCAGGGATAGGGACCGATATTCACCACACACCTAAATCCTTCTGGCTTGCCTTCTCCACCAGCCTCTCCAAGCACCCTGGCCAACAGCCACTCCAGACCACTGCCCAGAGGCCACCTTATTAACCACTCCAATCCCTTCATCACCCCAGTGAGGCTTCCAGCACCAGGGCTGACTACTTGGAACTGCTCGCAGGCCCACCACACCCAAGCAACGAGTCCCACAGAACTCACTTTGAAGACAACTGGGTTCCCCTTGTAAAATAGTCTTTAAGCTGGGAAAGTTTGTGGGGAGATATGGAGAGAAAGCAGAAGGGATTTAATATTTCCCCAGCCCAGCTGCTTGAACAGCAAAAGCAATAAGGTCTGAGAAAGCCTTTGTGGCATCTGTTGGTTACTGGAACCCGCATACTCCGATTCCAGCGCACACATATTTCCAGCAAAGCATGCACAGAGGACCTCTGCTGTGCACCCGGTGCCTCTATGAGCCCACTCTCATCTAGTGAAGGCTAACAAAATTTTGCACGCACATAAAACGGTGTTTGAGTGAATATAGGCATGGTAATATACAATGAACCACCAAAGAAATATGAGTCTGTATATATTCATGCATAAGTCTGAGTCTATACATTTGAGCCTGTATATAATAAATGCATAACACTACCAAGTCTGGTTGCAGAACACAATAGCCAGCCCAACAAGGTTGCTTTATCCAAACAAGGTCGCATTTTCCGTGGGGATCACAACTGTCAGACCAGGGAGAGAAAGGGTTTGCTCTGCCCATTTCTCCTTAGCTAGGAATCGGCGCATGAAATACAGTGGATGGCAGGGCTGACAAAGCACCCCTCTTAAGGGGCAGGCCTGAGAGTTCCCAAAGAATGGGCTCAGAGGGGAAGACTGGGGCCCTGAGCCCAGGGAATGCTGCCAGGCCCTGACCCACAGATTCAATGTCTCTGCCCAGCCTCAGCCTGGGGTGTGCATAGTTTTTGAGCCAGATTCTATTCTCAGCCACACTGGCTATTATTAGATAATCACAGAAGAGCTCTCCTGCAGTAAGGACCATGTCTGCAGGGAATTTGGCCTGCAAGGAGGCTGAGGGTTGCCGCTGGTGTCCCTTCTTACGCTTCTGTTTGAATGCCAGAGAGACAGAGAAAGAACGGAAAGAAAAGCGAAAGTAACTGGGAGGCTGAGGACTGGTGACAATCGGTTAGGGTTTGGTTTATCCCCTGGCCAGACTGGAATACCAGGGACAGTCACCGCTGCTATGCTTTCTCTGCTTACCTCTGACTCAGGAGGACCGGTCTAGGGGTGAAGGACATAGGGTAAGGTGGGGGCCTTCAGGATTCTAGCTAGGAAGGGACAAAAAATTGATAAAAATCTTATAGAGGGACACTTGAGGATTGGTGCTGTTAAGCGGTCAACCTCGAGCACTAGCACCCCAAAATCTCGCTGTCAGCACATCCAATTAGATCCCTGTAGGCCTAGAGATATACCCCAGCCTCGCCCGGGCCCGCCCCTCTGATGGGAGGGGACCCCTCCAATATTCCAGGTGAATCTCCACCGGCCTGGATGGCCTTCTCTGGAAAAGGTTTTCTTTGGGGGCAAACAAAGGAGACTTATGCTCCCTCACCCCCATCAGTGTATCCATCCAAAGGGGAGGAGGAGGCGGACAAAATACAGGCGAAAGAAAAGAAATAGAGGCCTCACCAGTCGGCGGTTCCCACATTACGCCAGGAAAAAGGCTCCTATTTTCGGGCCTCTCGGGCCCCTCCACTGTCCCACCGTACTCCCCTTGCCCTTTTCAGGTCCCACAGACTCCAGGTCTCGGCCTGCCGCAACCTGGATAACCCGGGCGTCAGCCTATGGGCCCTGCCTGAGCGGCAGGAGAGCGCGCGGCAGCCGGAGCAGGCGGCGGGCTGGGCCCATTTGGGGAGAGCCAAGCGCTTTTCTCGATCGTAAACAAGGAACGCGAAATTAGCCCCTCGCCAGACGCCTCTGCCGACACGCTAGTCCTATGGGGGGGAGGGGGAGAGAAAATGCCATTTCTTCCCCCGGGAGAATACCTCACAGGCCTTTATGTCCGCGGCGAAAGGGAAATTTTGGGGGGGGCAAGAGAGGAAGGGAAGAGGATTGTAGGGGGAGGGGAGAGAAGATTCACCATCAGCTCCGGCCCAGGGGGTTTGATTTGAATACAATCAAACTGCATTTTTAAGAATGTGATAAAAAGACGAGTTCCCCCCACCTCATACTCTCCCCTCCAGGCGACGGGTCAGGGTTTAAACAGGAAATCCTGGAGCGATCCCCTCCCCCACTGAAGCTTGGCGCAGAATCCCGGTCGCGCCTCTGGGAGAGGATGGGCGGGGGGCGTCTTGGCTGGATTGAAGGTGAGTCTGGCCCCCAGACTCTCGGAACTCCCCAGCAATATGCACCACCCCCCAGCTGTGGGGTGTGTCTGCCTGTGTGTCAGAGCGTTTAAATGTGTGTCGCCCTTTATGAAATTCACACATATAGGTGACGCCTGGGACCCAGGCCGGGGAGTAGGGCGGGGTCATACATCAAACTGCAACACATTCAGGGCCACGTACATTTGGAAGAAATTAAGCCACTGTGTTATGAAACCATATGTGTCGGGTTAAGACTATACAACACACCATTAGCACCAATTTTTAGGAAGATCCCGAGCGCGCAGGACCCTCCTGGCCGCCCCTTTCTGAAGCCCCTACCCCATAAGCCAGCTGCCCCTTGAGTCCTCACTGCCTCCACAGCACCCAGAAGGCCCTGCCAGCCAGGCCTGGGCCTGTCCCCGCCCAGCCTGGGGCCTCCCCCTTTCCCACCTCCGCCCCAGACAAGGCAGGTCCTAGCCTAGAGCAGCCATGCGAGGCGGATGAAGCCGTCCAGTGTACATCCCGGGTGGGATGGGCGCGGTTGCGGGTGGGGGCCGCTGGACCCAGGAAGGGAAAGCGGATAGGTGTCTTTTCTCTGAGCCCAAGATGGCTTTTGAGCACCACATCCCCCACCCCCACCCTCCATCCAATGCAGGGCACCTCCCACCCTTCCATCCGCGCGGGTGGGGGCGGGAGCAGGGGGTGGGCAGAAGCTCTCCCCTCCACTGACGCGCACCAGCCGCCAGCCTCCCCCCTAATTGCCAATTAACGGTCCAGCCGTTGGCCTAGCTGCGCTGGCTTCCTGCTCGGCGGCCCGGCCCTGGGCCCACACTGCGCATGTCTGAGCTCTGGCTGTCGCGCTCTCTGGGAGGGAGGGGGCTGCCAGACAGGGAGGGGGCGCTGGAAAGTTTGTCTGGGGTTTGGGGGGCTGACTTTGCCCAGGGAGCAATGGGCACAGCCTACAGGTTCTCCCTCCTGCCCTGGACTTTGAGCTTCCAGGCCCCCTCCGTCCCAGTCTCATTAGCCAAGAGGCCGGAGATCTGTAATAAACGGGTACTGACACAGTGGGCACCCGACAGAGGGCCCGCGTCCTAGACCCCAGGCTTGCAGCCCACAGGCATAGTCCCCTTGCCCCCCGACTTCCCCCTCCCCCGCCAACTCCCAACTTTGGCGCACAGGGACATCAGGACAACACACTCGCCCACTACCGGTTACCAGTATTCCAGTTTAACCCCCTTTCTCCCTCCCCTTTTCCTCCCCATAATTACCCACGCGCCCACCCTCTCGCCAGCCCCCTTTCCTCTCTAACCAAGACAAGCCGCTGCTGTCCTTATCTCGAAACCGCCACCCAGCTACGGACCATTAGTTACATATTTGAACCAATAAGGAAACACTTACCGGGCGCTGCTGTCACTCTCCCTCTCTCCCTCTCTCTCTGCCTCTCTCTCTCCCACTCTCTGTCTTTCTCGTCTTCCCTCATTCTGTGCCGCTGCCGAGCCTGTCTCAGCTCCACACACATATATACTTTATATAAATTCAAAAATAAAAAAGAACAATCCTAATAATAAAAAAACAAAATTAAGGAGAGTTGCAAGAAGAGGGCAGGAGGGAGAGCCTGGGAGAGGGGAGGGGCGGAGGCATCTGCAGCTCCCTATCTCGACTCCTGCTCCCGCATTCCTCCTGCCCCTTGGGGGCCAGAGGGTCGGGAAGGGAGAGAGATGCCCTCAACTCCTGCCTCTCCCCTCCCATCCCCACCCTTCCCAAGTGCCCCCAGCTTCGGCAACTCCACCTGAGAGGAAAAAAATTAAATGGGGGGAAAATAATTATTAATCAGATTAATAAAAAAAAATATATATATACTGGTAATGAAGGGAGCGCCCAGCGCAGGTTTCCCTGGCAATGGTTAGGCTCTTACAGGGAGGACTGTTCTGCGGAGCGCTCCGAACGGACAAACCACAATAAAAAGTTCACGTTCATGGATGGAATCCACATGACTTCTTGTGGCCAATCCAACTTGTGAGTCGATCGTAAACTTTTATTACTCAGCTGTAAATTTTCTGCAAACAACCGGGAATGCGATGCATTTGTGTAGCGTGTGCAAATGGGCGCCGCGGTCGCCATGTTTACCCAATTCTCTCAGAGAGGGAGCATCCCCCGACCCCCACCCCACCCCCACCCACCGCCCACTCCCCACGGCCGGGCTGCTCCAGGCGAGCGTGGAAAAAGCAGAGGGCAGACGCAGGGAGGAAAGAAGGAAGGTTCAGGCGACTGCTTCTCCTTGCTGTGCCGAATTTTAAATATTTTCTTTAATAAATGGGGGTATTAAGGTTGGATCTGGGGGAATCAAAGCTTTGCAAAGATTTGTGGCCTTGGGGGCAGTGATGGCTGGCGAGGTGAAGGGACCGAAAAGGGATGTCCTTCCTATCCCTACCATTTTTTTTCTAGGAGAAGAACAATATCCTCTCTACTGGGGTGCCCCCCAAAACACCCACTGCACCCCAGACAGGAACAGGAGTCACAGGCTGCTGGCAACCTCCCAACCAAGCATGACCTGACCGTGGTCTGAAGATCCTAAAGGGCTAGACCGGCGGGAGCAATCCTGCCGGCAGCAGGAGGGATGAGAAATTGGGGCAGGCAGCCTCCAGGACGCCCAAAGCGACCCTCACCCCCAGGTCCCTTTCTCAGACAGAATGACATTTTCCCCCAAGACTAACCCTAGCATCAGCTCTAATTTCCTAGATTCAAATGGCGGCTTACTCAAAATCTTTTTAGAATTAAATATGAAATTAAGGGCCAAGGTCTTGGTTCCCACTTTCTTTTTATTTGCAGTGCAAAGCAGTTTGAAGTCTTTTCGATGGATCTTGTCAGGTTACCCACACCCACCTTTTTCAGAAAAATTTCCTAGTTCAGTGTCTGAGTAGCTGAGACTTGCTGCCTAGGCCCTGAAAAAAGAACCTTTTACTGTCCTGAATTCCGCCTTCTGCGCTACAATTCTGAGCACCCTGTTTCTCCAGACTCCAAATTATGGAGATGTAGGGAGCCCAGAATAAATTCTCCTACAGAGATTATTTGCAGGGGTGAGGGTGGGGGCAGTGTTGTAGCCTGGTCACTCTCCCCACTGGCTTGAGATTTGAAGGCCGGCAGCTCTCCCCTTCGTCCTGCATGCAGCTGGCATAGGAACCTCAATAGCTGGGTGCCCTCAACCCAACCCATAGGGGATCCCTCATCAAACTTCCTGCACAGTAAGCAAAGCAGTTCTCCCAGCCGGATGCAGGGACCTCGTTTCTTTTACAAACCCACCCATAAATTTTATAACAGGTAGTTAAAAATTACGACGAGGAAGCGCTGGCCCAGCTTTTCACAACGGGCAGCGGGGAGAATGGGACAGCGCTGCGGGCAGCTCACCGGAAATTTTACTTCTAGTCTGTGGCACAACCTGTCCTGAGTTCTCTCTAATTGGGGCGGGGGTAACTTTCCCAGCAGCAGGCGGCAAGGAGTTGGCAGGACATCTCATCTGGGGAAGATGAGGCTGGGGAGACCAACCCATTCTCCCATCCAAGGGTCCCCCAAGGAGCCCTTCAGGAGCTCAGAACATCTCTAATCACTCCCCCCCGCCCCCCACTCAGATCTCTTACAGGCCCGCATCTCGCTTAGCCTCAGTAATGAGGGAGTGGGGAGGGATAGAAAAAGCTGAGAATTAAAAAAAAAAATCCAGGGAAACGAATTCGCCCCCCAACTTAATAGCTGCATATCCCGTCTCCATGGTTGAGATTAGAATAATAAATTCAAGGCGCAATGAGCGAGATGCTTCAACTCAGCATTTTGAAAGATACTATTTTTCACAAATCACAAATAGCTTTCGGAAGCCACTTTGATTGGCTAATAAAAAAGTAAAGAATGGGAGAAAGTCCTATCTGCAGCAGCGGAATGGCCCCCATTCCGGTAATGGGACGGCGGGAGCATTTGGGAGGACGCGTTTCTAAAGAGAGAGAATCCCGCTCGCAATTACGTTCTCCCATAAAATTGTTTTTTACCTCCTTTTCTTTCCAAACGAGAAAACAGAGGCGGTGGGCAGGAGACTCGGAAGAGTGGGTACTGCATGAGGGGGCGGCTGGGGCTCCCTTGGTCTGGCCCCCTCCATACATGGCATCTCTAGCGAAGCCGGGTGCCAGACGCACCCTGCCCTCCGACGCGCCGGGCTTGGGGCCACGGACATTGCTGAACGGGTCCAGGGATGAATGGGACATTTGGTGTGGGGGAAAAGCAGCGAAGGCCCTTCGGAGCCACTTAATGTTGGGTTCATCCCGCTTGGCTACGAGGCCAGATATTTTTATTAATAGCAATAATAATTCCACATTTAAAAATGAAACGGTTCTCGGCGGTCCCTCGGAGTATTAAGGACACGCCGGTGGGAAGGCCCGAGGTTGGAGCGAAATGTTCTCTTTTCAGGCCTCCCTGGCGGGTAGCCGGTGTCTCCCACAGCAAATGAGGTTACCTGCCTGGCGTCGCAGCTCACAGCGGGGACCCCAAGTTCGGGTAGATTTACCCTGAGCTCCTGCTCAAAGCTGTCCCCAGCTGCCCGCAGCCGCAGCCGAAGCCAGTGCTTCCAACCCGCAGCCTTTCTCGGGCAGCAGGAGTCCCCTATGAATGAAGCCTGACCCAATCCTGCACTCGGGACCACTTTGCCTGGGAGTCAGAGACTGGGACCCCCATGAAATTACATAAAACAAGAGTTGGCCTGGGCCTAGGTCTGGGAAAATCACTGACCAACAGAGAGAGAGAGAGAGAGAGAGAGAGAGAGAGAGAGAGAGAGAGAGAAAGAGAGACAGAAATAGACCTAGAGATGTGGGGGAAGAGAAATCTGGCCTCAAAAATATTTCAGTCTTTGGGGGTCTGGTTTTTAAGACAAGAAGATCCCCTCCCCTCCCCTTTCCCCCCTCTCCTGGCTGAGTCAGAAGACTTGTATCTCTGGAATTTGGGATTATTTAACCAGAATCTTATTGGCGTAAACAGATTTCTGTCTAGGACTCTGAACAGAGAAGTAATAGACCCCTTTGCCCCCTGGGTCCCTGAGCCTTCAACTCTTTATTTTGGGGAATGAAGATTCTAATGGAGACTCTCCTTAGGTGCTGTGGCTGGGGTGGGGGACTGTCCACTCTGCAAATCCATCCCCCCAAGCCAATGGCCCACACTATGGGGGCCCAGGCAAGCTGCCTGATCGCCAAGGTGAAGCCTGGAGCAAGCTTGAAACAGCTGGAACAGAGGCTGGAGTGGACACAAGAAGGCTGAGTGACAGTGATGTCTCTGTGCCAATGACCGAATTTGTATTTCAGGATGTGGACTCAGGCTGGTTGTTCTACCAGCTCAGTCACTTTCCCCTTCCCTTTTCCTCTCCTTCAGGCTCAAACTTCCTCATCCCTCCTCCTTAGAGTCCCCATCTCTAGGTGTCTTCCAGCCAAGCCCTGCAGACAGGTCAGCCGCCTTGAGCCTCACACTCCCTCAACTGTGTTCACTATTCTAGCACTGGGTGCCGGGTGCCAAGGGTTGGCCACAAGGGGCATGTGGAGATCAGAAAGAACCCCACTGCCTCATCCTCAGCCCCAGCCCCTGGCAGGAAAAAGGCACAGCTGCAGGGAGGGGCATGGGGCAGATTCTTTGTCTGGGCGCAGCCAAGGCTGAAGAGGAGGAAGGTGGATGAGTAAGGAGATCTTTCTTCCTATTGGGGTGCTGGCATCTAGAAACCCACTTCATTCAGAGCCAAGATTCCCCCAAGAGCATGCTAATATACCCCTTCCTCTCCCAACCAATGGACTGTTTCTCTCAACCCCCACCCCTTCCACCTGCCCTTCCAGCCCAGCCTGCCCTCTCAACTCCCAGGCTCCTCTCCACGTGAGTTCCTCCACCCCAGAGCCAGGTCAGTGGAGCAGACCTTTTCCAGAGTGTTGGGAATGGGGGATAGGAGGAAGGGGGCAGAGAACAAGGGAGAGCTGTGGAGAAAAAGCAAGTCATTCCAGCTTCAGATATTTTTCTCCTTTTTTTTTTTATTATGACTCACGTATACAATACAAAGTACTTGGACCAGGAACAGGGCTGTCGGGACACAAAATCTACATTCATAGCTGGACATAAAGACAAATGACCAAAAATTATTATTATAGATATATTTTAACGTTTTTTTTCTTTCGAGCATGTTGCATAAACAGAGAATTCAAGACAGAGTTAACTATACATTCAGTGCAATTTAGTTCTACTCTACTGGGGTTAGAAGCACAATAAAAGCGCACAGGACCGGTGGGCTAGGCAGTCTCAGTTGTTGGGTTTTTCTTAGTGAAATAAGCAGCAACAAACGACAACAAAACCGCATTACGAATACTCTCAAAGCAGGATTTATTTCTATAGGTAGTGATAAAATACGTTAGAGGTTTCTTTCCTTCTTTTTTTCATTTTTCCTTTTTTCTCTTTTTTTCTCCTATAGTAGGATTTTTAAAAATTTCTCTTTTTCTTTTTCAAGATTATTGCAGGTTCCCTTTAGGTAGTATGTTAAAGATTTATTATCAGTATTATTATTATTATTATTATTATTATTATTGTCATGATTATGGTGATTTCTGAGCGCTAATACTAATGCAGCTCAGAAGAAGCTGGGCCCAACAGAACAGAAATCAAACCAAGAAGGAGAAGAAGGCATGGGCCCCAGAGACCATGGATGGCTAGGTAGGATTTTAGAGGGGACTGCAGTCTTCCATCTACCCCTATGGAAAGAGGGGCAGGAGAGAGATCCACATCTCCTTCAGGTCTCCATCAGGTTCCTAGAGAAAGTCAAGGGAGTTTTCCTAAGCAGAGAGCCCCAGGGAGGGGGAGGGGATATTCCTTGCTATCTTTTCCTTATTTTTTTAAAATTTTTTCTTTCCTTTCCTTCCTTTCATTTTTTCTTTCCTTTCCTTTTAAAAAAGTAAATCTAACACACTAATTCTAGCATAAAAACAAAGCTACAAGTCCTCTTCCACATTTTGAGGGGACTCCCCTCTAAAATAAATATTAGAGTAGCAGGGAGGTGGGAGTGTAGCAAGAAGGGGCAGAGAGAGGGAACAAGGAGGCCAGGTCTCAGACCTTAAAATCCAGAAAGGACTCAGAAGGGTGGGGGTAGGGACAAGTGTGTGTGTTGGGGAAAGGAGTGAGACAGAGTCTGAATTTTTTGCCATGTCTCGGCATCCCCCCTCCAGCCCCCAAACAAATAAAGAGTGGGGGAAGTCCAAAGGTAATAAAACCAGAGCTGCAAGTATCTGACAGGTAGTTAGAGTTGTGAGTGTCATTCTATTCCCTATAAAAGCAAATGACAGTCGTAAACTTCTCAATTTATCTGCTACCATAAAACGAAACTTCAAGGGAGTTGCTAAAGGGGGGGGGGAATTTCTCTTTTTTGCTTAGTCCTTGTTTTCTTCCTTTTCCTCCTCTTCTTTCTCCTCTTCCTCGTTTCCTTCTTCCTCTACCTTCTCCTCATCTCGGGCTCCCGGCAGTTTATCCTTGTTGTTCTCCTTTTTCCACTTCATCCTTCGGTTCTGGAACCAGATCTTCACTTGTCTCTCGGTCAGTCCCAGGGCATGAGAGACTTCAATCCGGCGCTTTCGTGTCAAATAAGGATTAAAGAGAAACTCCTTTTCTAGTTCCAAGGTCTGATACCGGCTGTAAGTTTGCCGTCCGCTGCGACGCCCGGGAGCTGGACAGAACAGAACCCCAGTTTGGTTATGTTTGGGTGGGGGCTCGGTTTTCCCCTGCCACTCTTCCTCCCTTAAAGTCCCCCCTCTGATATCCCCAGATCGCCTCCCTTCTGTGGAAAAGGCAAGAGCAGAAGGCAGGCAAGGGATGCAAAGTTTGGGGGACTGTTTTGGTTTGGCTTCACCTTGGGAGGTGGGTTGGGGGTGGGGGCAGGGACTGGGGTCTGTTTGGAAACTGGGGGCTTGCAAGGGCCAGGGAAGCCCTGCAGAGTCCCCCCAGGCCTGCAATACCAGGAAACTGGCCCTTGCAGCTTTGTTTACAAGTGCAGAGTGGCATTTAGTGAGCAGAGCTGGAGATAGAGTCTCTTTCAAAAGGAAAAAGAGCTGGGGGTAAAGAAGAGGGGCTCTGCTCGCTGTCCCCTCCTTGCCTCTCTCTGCCTAACGCTTTTCTAATAAGAAAAAAAAATTGATCTACTGGAATCTATCACTGCTCTGCCTGATTGCTAACTGGAGACCAGCAAATAAATCACGGGCCATCCCCACCGGAACTTGTCGCTTTATCGCTTCCCCCTGTACTTCGAAATTGGGCTGCGGTGAGGGGCCACCCTTGGAGGGGCTCATGACCCGAGCTGCTTTGCAGATCTCAGAGAGACCCCACTTGACTGAGGGGGGAGCCTGGTTAGGGTCCTCTGAACCTCAGAGACCCCTAATCTGTATGGCCCCTCTGCTTTTGAGCAGCTCTTTTTTTTTTTTCCCCCTGTTCTCAGGCTTCCTGTCTTCTCTCCAACTGAGGGAAGTATAGAAAAGTTGGAGTATTGGCCCTCAGGATAGTTCTCTGAGAGGAGGCAGTGGGCACACTAGAGAGCCAGAGAGCCTGTCCTTGGAGTCTCACCACTCGCTGGCTAGGGGAGAGAAACAGGGGGTCTCCCCTCACCTCAAGACAGCCTGGCCACTGTCCCGAACTCCAGGCTCTCTGCCTTTGGAGAAACCGGTTTGCTCCAAAGGCTGATAACCTCAGCGTACTCAGGGTACCATTCCCAGCCACCTCCCCAACTTTGACTTTAGAGATGGGGGGAGAGACAGAGATGGAGAAAACGATTTTTAACCCTTTGCACCCACACACCACCTTTCCCCCACCTTCACCCCACCCCCCAAAATGTCCCAGGCGTCCCCCACCCCACCCTTAGCGAAGCCTTCCCAACCTCTACAAACCCACCCAGGCACGAGGGTGGGGAAAGAGAGACCCCAAAGCCAGGAGGGAAAGCGAGGGCAGACAAAAAGGAGGCGAGGGAGGGGGGGAAGACCCGGAGCGCGGGAGACCAAGGGGGAAAGAGAAAAGGCTTCTCACCGTGGGGTCTCATCCATGGAAACATGAGGCTGGGAGACGAGTTTTGATTTAAGTGGCCTTGTCCTTCGCTACTGTTAGTGTTGGCGGAGGATTTACAGTCGGGATATTGCACCACGCTCGCCTCTTGCTGAGCCCCATAAAGGGACTGTCTGGGGAGCGCCTCATAGCCATAGAATTTGGAGGCGTCTCCGTGGCAGCTAAGCGAGCATGGGTTCTGCTGGTAGCCTGAGTTGGAGATGCCGGAGGTGCCGTGGTGGAAGAAGTCTTGGACGTGGTGCGAAGCGTGCTGGAAGCCGGGCGCCGAGCCGCCGGGCCCGTACACCAGCGCATGGCTCCTGCCCACGCTCTGAGGGAACCGGCAGTCGTAATAGGCCGGTTCCAGGGACTCGCCGCCTTTGTATTTGGAGAACAGGGGGTTGACGAAGTAGGAGCTCATGCTGGGTACATGAAAACCCGCGGCCCCCTCCCCTCTGGCTCACGACTCCCCCGCCCGGTACCCCTGAAACTCCCCTCCCCCAGGGACCGAACCCCAGGCCGGCTGGCTCCCCTGCACTGGGCTGGGCTGGTGGGCTGGGGGCTGGGCAGGTTGGGGGCGCCTGGTGCTGAGCTCGGTGTGCTCAGCAGAGCTCCGGGTCTGGGGCGCGGGCGGCGACGGCGGGCGGCGAGCGGGCGGCGGCGGCGGCGGCGGCGGCGGCTCTCTTCACTGTCGGTAGGTAGAGCTCGCGCTCTCTCACTTAGCTCTTTCCTTTAACAGCCCAGGCGAATTCCTCAGACTCCCGGCGGTGGCGGCGCTTACACGCGATTCGCGTTCATCAATCCACGACATGAAGACAGGCGAGAGAGAGAGAGAGAGAGAGAGAGAGAGAGAGAGAGAGAGAGAGAGAGAGAGAAGAGAAGAGAGAGAGAGAAGAGAAGAGAGAGAGAGATGGCGCGGGTTGAGGGGTACAGGGCTGGGGGGGACCTG